TTGTATCCAACACTGTTGATGATCCTACGTTTCAGGAACAACAATTAAATGAAACGAGCCGCTCACAAGCTCAGGTCGGCTCGACTGGTTGATGTTTGTTTAGTTAATGAGTCGAACCAAGCTAGACTCGTTAAGGTCAAAAATAGAAATTTCTGTATAATTTTCTATAGGTTGACTAATTAAAACTCGAGATCGACTCGTTAATATTAATGAATGAGCCAAAGTCAATCCTTTGATTGACTTATTTAGTTAAAGAGCTGAGCTCGACTCAGCTCAACTCGATGACATCCCTAATTTTAGGATTAATAGACAAACTTCAAAACGTCCTTTAATTTGTCCGGACAAACAATTTAAAGGATTTAGATAATATAATGTCTAATGATTGGGCATTAGTGCTAACACAAACCCTATAGATAAGATCTAATGATTTTACATGAGTCCGTGACAGAAATGTACAAAAATGGTTCAAACATATTGAGTATTTTGGGTCCTCTTACCATGGATATATAAAATCCAACTCTCCTTTCATTCATGTCAATCATACTAGTGAACAAAAGGGCACATATAGCCTAATTGAATATTTTGTGTCCCCTTGTCATGGATCAATTAAAAAAAATATAGTTTTTTATATACTTATGTTACGAAATGTTATACTTTTATTTATATTATTTTTTAAAATATAATATTTCAATTTAAAAGTATATATATATATTTAATAAAAAAGTATAGATGTTCAACCGTTAGATCTGTCTAACATCGGCCTCACTCTAAAAAAATCATCTCTCCTGTTATTAGCTATGATTATTGTTTTATAATTAATTTATTTATACAAATAAGTTATCCTAGGTTAGGCAAAGCAATAATTATGATGATACGGTGAAAATATTTTGACAATTATGATTGTCTATGGATTAAATTATTATCCAAACTCACCAACTTCCTTTCACATGTGTGTGCCCAATCCATATGGGAGCTTCATAACATTCTCACATGACATCCCTATAAATACCCCTTTTAACAACCAATCACTCACCAAAAAAACCCTCAATTACTTCTCCTCTCAACCTTTAAGAAAAAAAAAAAAAATAT